ATGATGATGAGGATGAGGAGGATGATGAGGAGGATGATGATGAGGATGATGATGATGATGATGATGAGGATGATGATGATGAGGATGATGATGATGAGGAGGAGGAGGATGATGATGATGATGATGAGGATGATGATGATGATGACGATGATGATGATGATGATGATGATGATGATGACGATGCACCAGCAGAAAGTAAACGTCAGTTTCTGACACTTGGCTGAATTTTCTTGTAGATGATTTTTCTTTTCTCTTTATTTTTGTTCTCCTCCCTTACGTTTACTCTCCATGTTTGCTCTTTTTATTTTTATTATTCATTTTCTTCTTCTTCCTCTTCTTCAGCAAACTTTTCTTCTTCTTCTGTCTTTGTTGGTGGTTGGTAAACAATGAATTGGTGCATTATCACCATCTACTGGTATTAAGCGCGGCTACACAACTTTTTTTTTCCGTCGCTGCCTGCGCCGGCCCAGTGATGCCCCGTCCCACTGGGAAAAGTCCCAGTACTCCCAATGGTCAGTCCACCCCAGGTGAAATGTGACAACAGCCAATCAGAATCCACCTCCTCCTGCTCCACTGCTGTTTATACGTTGCTAATGAAACGCAGACAGAATCACAGAATTAACTAAACAAAACGTAAAATCCAGTATAAACCCTGAATCTCACAGAGGTCATTTATTTGGGCGGGTTTCTGAGGTATTTTATTTGCTGCTGCTTCCTGTTCCTGCTGTTACCTGCTAACAGGGTGGGCTACCTTTACCTGCTGTTACCTGCTAACAGGGTGGGCTACATTTACCTGCTGTTATCTGCTCACAGGGTGGGCTACCTGAGCTCCCCTCCTGACAGAGAGAGAATAGAAGGGAAGTCACCTGCAGCCCATGACCAACAGATTAAACAGAGGTTCTTAACCCATGGGCCGTGGCCTGATTGTGGGCCGTGAGCGCCACCTTGAGGGCCTCAAAAGAACATTTTTAAACTTTGGGCCACAGAGGGCCGTGGGACCATATTGATTTTAAATAAGGTGTATTTGATTTGATTTGATTTATTGATTTAACAGGAAAAGAAAATCAAGCCTGACTCAGCATGATTGCAGTTTTACAGCAGGTTTCTGTTCTGCAGCACCTGAGCCCTGAGGTCAGAAAGGTTCAGAACCCCTGGTCTAAAACGGAGACATTTTCCAAAAATATGAGCAGCATGAGTTACGTCATCATTTCAACATGGCTGCCGCACGCATGAAACTTACCTTTTACGTTCTTTATCAGTTCTGTGTTAATTTTACATTAGGTCAGACATACGTGTAGTGCTTTATAGTGATAATTCTGTATTAACACTGTTTGTGCACTCAAAGTGCCTCGTAGAGCTTTATTATTGTAAGAGTTATTGTTGCAGAGCAACATAATAAAGCTTTATTCCAACGTTTGAAACGAGAACACGTTCAGCTCAGAACTGACGTCAGAAATTTGTTCTGATAAAACTGGAACAACTTTATCCAAGGTTTTGTTCTTGTGTAAGAATCAGATATTCCTTCAAACATTTAAAAAGTTTTGTCTGCTGTTTGATAAAACACGGTAAAAAAGAAAAGTAAATGAGTTTAGATCCTATCCAGTGTGCACAAGTTGTTGCTGTTTGACATTTTTAATGTTAAGTTCAGTTCTGAAACATTATATTTTATAAAAGGATAACTTTATTAATGTGAGATTCTATGATTTACACATAAATATTTTTTTTTCTTGGTAAATAATTTTAAAGAATGTTGTACTGAACCACAGCCAGTTGTTATATTAGTGAAAGTGAAATAACAGACATTACTTTTATTTCTGTAGCTATGTATTTGTTAAATTATTTTTCAGTCAGTTTATAATTTCACACTTTGTGATAATCATCAAGATGGGAGAATATGAAAGATTAATAGTTTATTTTGCCGTGTCACTCAGCCTGCTTCACTGTAACTGACAGCAGAGTGAAGATAACTGCAGTGAAAACACAAGAACTGGTTCAGATGACCTTCAGACCCAGCTGGAGTCAAATCCAACACGAGTTTACTTCCTGTTAGCAAAATAACCCATGAACCACTGCACATGTTTTAAAATCATGTATATATAATATAAAATAATTCTGTATAAATGAGGGTTCCAGTTAAAGATGGCCGCCACACATCTGGACACACAACCAGCTGAATAACTGAAATATTTCCAACTCATGTCTGTTAAATCTGCTGATAAAACAAAAACATGTTTTTCTTTAATTAAAACTTAATGTGAGAACATAACACACACACACACACACACACACACACACACACACACACACACACACACACACACTGTTCATGTGTATTTACTGGTTGTCCTGCAGGTTCCAGATGCTGTATGCAGATGTGTACATGGATCGGGAGGAGTTCTGGCAGATGTTTGATGGAACTTTGTACCACAGACTCAGACAGGAGCTGGGCTGTAACGAAGCTTTTCCTGAGGTTTATGATAAAATCTGTAAATCTGCTCGTCTCTGAGCCTCATCCAGGCCTGTCATGGCTGCTGAACCAGGAAACACAAAGATTTTCATCTGGATGGTTCAGGGTTTGTTGCTCTGACTGGGGGGTTGGATCTTTATAATTATTGTTCTGATTTCTGTAAATACTTTTCTTCTTTAAAAATGTTGTACATTTCCTCATTTTCTTACTTTTTCTCAAATATCTTACACAACCTGAACCCTAAACATGTTCTTAAATATTTTTGTATTTAAAGACACATCAGAGCTCTTTACCTTTAATCTCAAATAAATGAAAATGTTTCTGAACTGAAGTTTGTTCTTGTTTGGCCTCATATTGTTGGGTTTATGAGTTTAGCTTCAGAATATAAAGGTTTAAAGGGTCTCATTATGAGTCTGTAAGATGAACAGATTACAGCTGAAACACTGAAGCACGCTCACTAAAGTTAAACACTACTTTTATTTTATTTATTCAGGTAAATAGAACCCAAGCATCATTAGTGCTTAGTTTATTTTAGCTAGTTAAAATAAAGTCATTGGTTAAAAAGCCTTTATAACATCAGTCTCAGTAACAATGTAATTACAAATGCTAAAAGATATATTTAGGATGAGTATTAAAAACTTATATTATGTTTCATAGTTTTACATTAACACAACTCAGTATTAATTAAATTAAAACTCCATTATATCCATGTGAAGTGAGTTTGTCCTATTTAAGAATTAGTAAATTAAAGTTTTATTTATACAACACCTTTCATAGAAATAGATTCACAAGGTGCTGCACAAGCAGGCAAATCTAAAAGATAATCGGAACAGGATAAACAGAATTTGGAACAAAAAAGTATCAAAGCTGTACAAACATCAAAGTATCAAGACTGTGTAGTCTGCGTTATTAAGAATTAATATTAATACACGACTGGTAGTGAAAACTATTTTACATTCTAGAAACAATTCAGAGAAATTAGACGTGAATATGAAGATAGTCCTTGTAAATATTTAAAATATTCTTTATGTCAATGAAGAGTTGAATTTTGTATATGATGCATTTTCTGTTTATCTTTATTTTTAAAGAACCACTCAAACATTTTTACAAACTTTAAACACAGTTTTCCTAATTCAGTCTCAGTGGTGGGATGATGAAATATTATTTCTACATGCAGGGCTGTGTGTGTGTGTGTGTGTGTGTGTGTGTGT